TAGGATGCCCTGAGACAGAGAAAGGGTACTGGGATTGGGTGGAAATGCTTCAGAAAAGTGTCATTTCTGTTCTCCTCCATTTTAACTGCTCTCCCCCCGCTGTGAGCTCCATCCCTCTGCAGTTGTCACTCACAGGACTTCCATTTAGGATCTCTCCTTCGATTGAATGCCAGTAACACTCACCTCTGCAATAGAATGAAAGATCTTCAGTGTCGGGAAGGATGTTGTGTCTTCAGGGTGGCACTGGTTACTGCTAGATATAGAACTTGTAAATATTTTCTCCCAGTTTGTGGTGGCCTTTTTACTTTCTTGATAAATTTATACCTAAATTAAAACACAAAATTTTTAACTTTTGAAGAAGCCCAATTTGTCAAATTTTTCTTTTCATCATTTGTGCCTTTGTTTTCATATCTAAGAATTCTTTGCTTAATTCAAAGTAACCAATATTTGCTCCAAGTTTTTTTACCTAAGATTTTTAAATTTTAGCTCTTATATTTAGGTCTGTGATCTATTTTGAGTTAATTTTTGTGTGTGATGAGGGTCTGCATTTACTTTTTCCCTGTGGTGATCCACTTGTCCTAGCAGTTTGTTGAAAAGACTATCCTTTTCCCATTGGACTGCCTTGAATCAACCATAATTGCAAAAGTTATTTCTCTGTTGTCAGTTATGTTCTACTGATCTCTATATTTATCTTTTTTGTTTGTTTGTTTGTTTGCGGTACGCGGGCCTCTCACTGTTGTGGCCTCTTCTGTTGCGGAGCACAGGCTCCGGACGCGCAGGCTCAGCGGCCATGGCTCACGGGCCCAGCCACTCCACAGAAATTTGGGGAAAATTGCTTTGCTGAAGAATTGAGTCTTCCAGTCCATCAATATGGGATGTCTACCTGTTCATTTAGGTCTTTAACTTCTTTCAGCAATGTTTTGTAATTTTCACCATACAAGTCTTGTACTTCCTTTGTTAAATTTATACCTCAATATTTCGTTCTTTTGATGCTATTGTGAATGTAAAATTTTCTGAATTTTATTTCAGATTCTTCAATGCCAGTATATAGAAATACCATTGATTTTTGTATCTTGATCTTATATTATGTGACCTTGCTGAAACTAATTCCAGTAGTTTTTTGGTGGATTCCTTAGGGTTTTCTAAATACAAGATCATGTTGTCTGCAAACTGAGGCAGTTTCTTCCTGTCTGATCTGGATGCCTGTTACTTCCCTTTCTTGCCTGATTGCACTGACCAGAACTGCAGTGCTCTACAGCAGTCACAAGAGCAGATATCGTCCCTGTTTCCAACCTCAGGGAAAGCATTCCATCACCCACCATTAAGATGTAGCTGTAGGGGTTTTGTAGATGCTTTTTATTGGGCTGGGGAAGTTCCTTTCCGTTCCTACTTTGTTGAGAATTTTTATCATGAATGACCATTAGATTTTGTGAAATGCTTTTTCTGTGCTTACGGAGATCGTCATGTAGTGATTGTTCTTCTTTCTTTCGGTATGATCTATGACATTAATTGGCTTTCAGATGGTAAAGCAACCTTGTATTTCTGGGATAGATCCCACCTGGTTATAGTATATAATCCTTTTTATACATTGCTGGATTTGGTTTGCTTATTTTGTCAAAGACTTTTTCATCTATATCCATGTGGGATATTGTTCTTTAGTTTTCTTTCCTTGTGATGTCATTTTCTGGCTTTGGTATCGGGTAATATGAGCCTCAGAGAATGAGTTGGCTGCCTCTTCCTTTTTCTGGGAGACTTTGTAAGGGTGGGATGTTCTTTATTCTTTGAATGTTTGGTAGAATTCACCATCTGAGCTTGGACTTTTTTGTTTCGAGATTTTAAATTACTAGTTTTTTTTTTTTTTTTTTGGCTTTTTATAGATCTATTTAGATTTTATATTTTTTCAGTCAATTTTAGTAATTCATGTCTTTCTAGGAATTCGTTCATTTCATCTAAATTATCTAAATTGTTGGCATGCAGTTACTTGTAGTCCTTTCAGCTTTTATGAGGTAAGAACTGCTGTCTCCTTTTTCACTCCTGAATTTAGTTATGTGTCTTCTCTTTTTCTTGGTCTGTCTAGCTCAGGAGTCCACAGAGGACAGCTCACAGGCCAAACCCACTGGCAGCCACTGTTTGTGTATAGCCTCTAAGCTAAAAATGGTCTTTTTATTTTTAAAGTGTTGTAAAAACAAAACAAAACCAAAAAATACAAAGAATATTGACAGAAACCGTATGTGGCAGCAAAAGCTAAAATATTTACTATCTGGCCCTTCATAGAAAAAGTTTATTCATCTCCAGTCTAGCTAAAGATTTGTTAAATTTCTTGGTGTTTTTTAAAAAAAAAAACAGCCATTATTTTAATTGATTTTCTTTTTTTCTACTTCGTTGATTTCTGCTCTAATCGTTATTTTCCTTTGCTTACTTTTGGTTGAGTTTGCTTCTTTTTTGGTGGTTGGCTCCTAAGATCTTTCTTTGTTAATATAGGCATTAACAGCTATAACATTTTCTCCAAGAATTGCTATAGCTATTTTGTGTCATGTCATGTTTTCATTTTCATTCACCTCATAGTCTTTTCTAATTTTCCTTGTGATTTCTTCTTTAACCCATTGGCCATGTAGAAGTACATTGTTTATAGCCACATATTGGTGGTAGATTTCCCCCAATCCTGCCATTTTTGAATTCTAACAATTTTGTTGTGGTGAGAGAACACACTTTATATGCTTTTAGATCTTTAACATTTTCTGATCCCTGTTTTGTGGTCTAGTATGCAGTCTGTTGTTATTGGGTGGGCGTTCCATAGTTAGATGTCGGTAGGTTGATGTTGTTGGGTGGGTGTCCACAGAGAGAAGTCAGCAGGCTGGTATTGTTGGTTGATGGTGCAGTATTTTGTCAAGTTATTCTGTCCATTCTTGATGGTGGGGTATTGAAGTCTCCAACTCTGATTGTTGAATTGTCTGTTTCTCTCTTCAATTCTGTTCATTTTTGTTTCCGTTTTTTCACTGCTGTTAGGTACATGAATATTTATAATCGTTATATCTTTCTGATGGATTGACCATTCTGTCAATGTTTAATGTCCCTCTTTGTTTCTATTAAAGTTCTTTGTTTTAAAGTCTGTTTTGCGAAATTGAGTTATTTGTAGTGAGGTGGATGGACTTAGAGTCTGTCATACAGAGTAAAGTAAGTCAGAAAGAGAAAAACAAATACCGTATGCTAACACATATATATGGAACCTAAAAAAAAAGAAAAAAAAAAGGTACTGATGAACCTAGGGACAGGAATAAAGACGCAGACGTAGGGAATGGACTTGAGGACATGGAGAGGGGGGAAGGGTAAGCTGGGGTGAAGTGAGAGAGTGGCATTGACATATATACACTACCAAATGGAAAATAGATAGCTAGTGGGAAGCAGCCACATAGCACAGGGAGATCAGCTTGGTGCTTTGTGACCACCTAGAAGGGTGGGATAGAGAGAGAGGGTGGGAGAGAGGCACAAGAGGGAGGGGGATATGGGGGTATATGTATACATATGGCTGATTCACTTTGTTATATAGCAGAAACTAACACAACACTGTAAAGCAATTATACTCTAATAAAGATGTTAAAAAATAAAATAAAAGTCTGTTTTGCCCCGTATTAGTGTAACTACTTCATCTCCCTTATGGTTATAGTTTGCTTGGTGTATCTTTTTACATCCTTTCACTTTCAGTGTATTTGTGTCTTTGAACCTGAATTTTGCCTCTTATAAATAGCATATAGGTAGAACTTGTTTTGTGTTTTATTTTTTAAATTGCAGTTTGACAACTTTTATCTTTGATTAGAATTTTGAATTTATTCACATATTTAAGTTTTTTACGATTGGATTTATGCCTGCCATTTTGCTATTTATTTTCTATGACATGTTATTTTTGTTCCTCTGTTCTTTGTTTACTGCTTCCCTTTTTAAAAAATTAAATATTTTCTAGTGTACTGTTTATAATAAATTATTGATTGTTAACTCTTTTTGAATTATTTTCTTAATGGTTGCTCTGGGAAGTCTTTTATTATCTGTTCTTTCATGTGTTTTTACTTATGTGCCCAGTTATCTTTGTGTACTGGTCATTGTATTTGAATACTTCTCTGTGGAGTTAATTTGAGGCCTTGAATGGAAGTTCTTTCCCTCAGAGGTTTTCCTTTGCTTCTTCCAGGTGCCTGGGAGAACCACCATCCTGGAACCCTTGTTATCCAGTCTTGAGGCTCCCAGGCCCTGTTAGGCTACGTGTCTCACACACCTCTTACCTTGAGGAGGTGACCTGCCATGGCCTGAGCTACGAAGTGCTGTCATTGAATAGCAGTCCCACCCCCACCCCGCCGAGTCTTGAGCAGACACTTGGCTCTGATTTCCATTCCCTGCAGCCTCGCAGGGTTACCAGAACCATCGGTCGGAATTTCAGCTGTTTCTTGTAGATCAGTGAGGACTTGAGGGTACAAGTGGCTTGTTTCCTCTCTCGGCTAATGCTTCTCAGAGATTTGGGCCCAGTAGTTCCCCACAATCTTGTTAACTCTATGTTTAAGACTCTTTCAATACCTTTTACAACTTTCTTAGTTGAACAGAGCGGGATTATTTGTGTGCCATTAGCCTGTCATTTCTGCAAGTGGATTTGGAGGCATTTTGACCCGCCTGTGGGTCCTGCCCTGCCCTGTACAAGCCAAGTAGCAAAATCACGGGCAGACAACTTCTCTCGAGCTTACTTACTTCCCCTAAGTATCTCAGAGTTTGGGAAAACGTAGGTAGGTCACGTATGTGAGTCCCTTGACACCGTGCCTTGGAAATAGGCTCTCAGTGTGTGGGTTGGGTTTGCTCTGTTCTCTTCCCTGTGCTTCAGGATCCTCTGTTTGGAGTGTGGGTCCTGAGGCTGAGGTTTGACCAGGGAATTTCTATCTTTGTCTTCAAATACTATTTGTCTAAATGTCAAGCATAAGAAGACTTAACAAAAACAAAAAAATCAACTTTGCTTTCTTCCACAGAAGATCTTCTTGGCTGTAGACTATTATTTCCTTCATTTGCAAGTGGTCCGTCCTGCCCCTCACCCATCCTGGGCGTTGGTCATCCCTGGGAGTCCACAGACTCGGTCCCTCAGGACCACCCTCCACTCAGAAGCTGCAGAACTCAAAGATGCAGGTTTCTTTTAACTCTGAAATTCTTTGGCTAGATTAGTTTTTCTCTACCCAATATTTTTATGGTCAGAAAGGAAACAGTGTTTCATCTTGAATTAGTGTTATTTTTTATAATACATTAAAATTCTTTTCCCTTGGCTGCCAAGAACATTTCTTACCTGGTTATCATGGTGGAATCCTGCACACTTTAGGCAAATAAATATGGAGGTTTTGAACCCTCCCTCCTGTAGTAAGGATAGTCCATCTGCAGATACACCTTGGGATCAGGACATGCAGACTCTGGGCTTTTGCAGTTCATGCTTGATGACCCTTTGTATCCATCCTTTAGGCCCCCCTCCTATTTGCATTTCAGATACCAGCTGACTTTTATTAAAACCAGCTCCTGGTATGGGGTACCAGCTGTGAGCACAGTGACCTTGACCAGGGCAGGCCCCTCCCTGGGACGGGCGCTGATAGGCATGGCCTCCGGTGAAAGGTGGTGGGATCACAGCCCACGAGCAGAAACACATCTGGGCTTGTTATTAAAATATCACATCACTTTTCATGTATAATAAAGATCTTTTCATGCTTCCATCTTTCAGCAACTTTTTCCTCTTTCAAAATGGTCTTGGGAGAACAAGGAGCTTATCTATAATCCGCAGAGTCACTGTGCAGCTGAGACAGTCTGTTACTCTGTTACGCTATCACTTTGCAGTGTGTTCGTCCTTGACCTTCTCAGCTGATGGTCAGGGGTGTGTTAAATGTCTTCTGTATTCTCCTCATACTTGCAGATGTTCACTTTATTCAGACACCCAGCAGCAGAGGTGATTCCGGTAAACGAGGTGATGGAAGACTATATTAGAATGTTCTTGAGAGCTAAGACTTTCTGGACAGTTTTGCTTTTTGCGTACGTAGATCCTTGAACTGTAATACTGGACCCTCCGTTGATCCTGTGTTCAAATTTTAACCCTGACATGTAATTGCTATGAGATTTTGGATGAGTTCCGTAGCGATTCCAAACCTTGGTTTCCTTGGCTACAAAATGGGGATAATATTAGCTGCTCTGTCTCCCAACTATAGAAGATTGTGATAAATATCAAAAAAAAAGTGTTGTGTTTTGTAAGTGGTGAGGTGGATTGAAAATACAATTCAGTCCTGAGAAGACGCTTCATTTGTTCTACAAATATTTTTTAAGTCCAGCCAAATACAGGAGCTGAGCTGGTCCACACAAGATGCCCCATCCCAGTGGACATCTTGGTGCCACTGAATAAGTGTGGGAATTAGAGGCCAGAAGGCTTGTGGTGTGGTTCCTGGGGTGCTTGCCTGGGTTTGGAGGAAGTGGGGCTTGCATGTGTGGTGGTGCCACTGCACAGCGTCCTGGAGGAGGTCACGCTGTGAGCAGAGACTAACCCTAACCCTGACCCCGACTGTGGCTTCCTCTACTCTCCCCACTTTCTCTTTGAAATACTGGCCTGGTCCTGTGCAGACTTGTGCACCTTCCCACACGTAACCAGGAGTCGGGACTGGTTTAGGAAACCTCAGAACTTTGTAGGATTCTGCGTGAGGCCACCAGACACAGGGCCGTTTTTCAAGAGTTTGATCAATAGACCTTCCCTTTCAGGGAAATTTCCCTGCTTTTGTCTCTGCCCTGCTGCCTTGCTATACCCTTTGTGGGAGAGAAATAGGCTAAACTCTAGCATAACTTCTTTTTATCCTCCTCATATCACCCACCCTTTTCTGCTTCAATTTTCCTTGTTTTCCTTTTTAAGATTCCCAGCTGTGGCTGACCATGCACATGCCTGCAAGCATGTTCCTGATGGGAGCCAGGGAAGGATTCAGGCCTGGAATAGCCGACTTCTCTGCTCCTGTTCTGACAGCTTCCTCCCTGCATTTCTGTTCCCACCTTCACACCTGCTTCCTGCCTGCTGGGGGTGCTGCTGTGCCTGGAGGGGCCCCTGCCCTGCCTGTGCCCCTCCTTCTCCCCCCCTTGCCCCCTCCTTCTCCCCCTCTCCTCCTCCCCACCCTCTCCCCCTCCTCCCCCTCCCCTCCTCCCCCTCCCCTCCTCCCCCTCCCCTCCTCCCCCTCCTCCCCATCCCCTCTTCCCCTCCCCTCCCCCCTCCTCTTTCAGCACCTCCCTCCCCACCTCCTCACATTAGCCACAGGCTTCCTCTCAGCTTACTTCATCCACAGCTCGTTTGATTAGCACAATGCTCATGAGGCCATTTTGCAGAAATAAGAGATACAAATACAGCTCTTTTAGTTTATCTTATTGCTCAGTTTAAAGATAAATATCCTCCCAATGACATAGTGGGCATATTTGTACCTTTAAATAAAACACTGAAATCTTTTTGATTTTTTATCAATTTAAAGCACTTTTTTAAGTTGTGAGATGGAACGTACCTATAGAAAAATACACAGAACATACATGTACACTTTAAAGATTAATTAGGAGGTAAATACATGTGTAACTACGACTCAGCCAGGAAGTACTGCATTGCTAATACCTTAGAGGTACACCCTGACTCCCTCCCCACAAAGTCATCACTATTCTGACTTTGGGATTATAATTTTCTTGCTTTTCTTTATGATAGTTCGTATTAAGTGTATATTTCTTAAATAATCCGGTTAGTTTTGCTTGATTTTGAGTTTTAAATAAACGGAATAATACTATGTATATTCTTTTGTCTTGCCTCTTTCACTGAGCATTATGTCTGTGCAATTCATTTATGTTGTGTGTAGCTGTTGTTTAATTTCACACTTGAATGGTGTTTGACTGTAGAAATGCGCACAATTTATTTATCTGTGCTGGTATCTGTGAACATCGGGCTGTTCCCCGATTTGAATGACGCTGTGGTGAACGTTCTGTACATCTCTTCTGGTACATACGTGTAAGACTTTTTCTGCCCATGTGGTGAAGTTATTAGGTCTTAGGGATCTGAGTCTCCACCTTTCTGGACGTGCCCCACTCTCTTCCCCAGGTCCTCATCCCTGCCAGCCGTGTGAGTTCTGGCCGGAATTGTCCAATTTCCCGCGTGTCCTACACTGCAGCCTGGGTACTCACGTTTCCCGGTCGACTGACAGGGTCATGGACTGCTGGGAAGCATCTGAACTGCCTTTTCTGGTCTCTTGCCTACTTTGCTGTCGGGCTGTCTGTCTTCTTGCTTGTTGGTCAGAGTTGCTTCCAGGGAGTTTAAAATGTGTTCTCTCCTGCAGGACGACGTGATGATGCCTCAGAGGGTGAGGCTGCAACACGCAGCTGCTGTGCGACACCCAACAAGTGTGAGTACGGATGTTTCTGCATGTTTCTGCTGCATTGTTACACCTTTTGGTAGAACTGCCATTACAGCTTTTTAGATTAAGATTCTTCCTTAGGATAGGAAGAGTCAGTTTGTAATCAGACTGCCCCCTTGGAGAATGATGTGTGCCTGGTGTGTCTGCGCACTCAAGGGTGTTTTCCTTTGAAGGAAAATGTGCTTCTTGTTTTGGGTAGCACTGGTTACTTTCAAATGGGTCCAAAGTATTTTTTTGGTTTGGTTTAGTTTAGTTTGGTTTTATCAGCATTTGAGAAGCTGTGTACCTTGGACATGAAAACACAGGTTGAGAGCTGTAGGATATATCAGTTAAAAAAAAAAAATTCCATTAGCTACATAACCTCAGACTACGTTCTCATCTTTCGAATGGCTTCCCCTTTGGCCCCCATGAGCCAGGCTCTCCAGGACCCGTCGTCCTTGGCATTCGCTGGGTGAGAGCTCACTTCCCCCCACAGGAGCCCCATTTCAGGGAGCGTCTCCCAGCCACTTGGACCTGGGGGAGCATCTCGGGCCCGTGGATTCCTCGCTCCCGTGTGACTCAGGGTCGGCGGTGGCCCAGCCGGTTGAACCCCAGAGCTGGCGTCTGACCACAGAACCCACTGCTCAGATCTCTATGCTGAAATTTTAGTAAAAACATCTTTGAATTATTGTGGTGATCACTGGTTTTGAAAGTGGGAAGGAGAAAGGTCTGGAACTGTCTTAATATACATGGTGTCTGATTGCCTGGGAACAGCCTCCAGGTTTGCTCACTTCTGCTGCAGTGCCATGTCCAACCATGCCCACACACTAAAGCATCTCCAGTGCACATGAGCCCCTGGGATCTGATCCCAGGTGTTGGTGGGACCTGAGACTGCATTTCTCATGGGCTTCTGGGCACTGTGTTCGGGGTCTGACTGCCTGGCCACTGGGCCTTCACGAAGGAAAGAGCCTGTTCATGGCACAGGGCTCAGGGCTCAGAGAGTGGACCCCCTATGAAACATGTACTGAGTTAAGACAGAGGCTCAAATATACACTTCCTTCAGAAACAATTTCTCAAGGAGTCTGAAGGACGTTTGTTCACCCAAGATGAATTCTTTCTCTTCCAATAGCCCCTTATTTTGGAGCTCTGAATTTAGCCCACTGATTTTCTCCTTCTAGGAAATGTAGCCCCTCTTGCTCTGTCTCCAGCTGCCCAGCCCCTGCACACCTGAGTGACTGGGGACTTGGCTGTCATGTAAACAAACCTAGGCACTCTGCCTGAGGGCTGTTGTTGTCTTTTCATGGAATAGGTGACGTTTTACAACCTTAAGTTTGATGCTGAGGATTCTTATCCTCAGAAGTGTAATTGCCCTTATATTGCTTAAATTTAAACGTTGTTAATGTTAACATGTCCTTGAAATACGCCTGTAAGAAGATAAAAATGGCCTTCGGCTACTTCTTGAGAGGCCGCTCCACTGCTCCTCCGGCTGGAGCTTCCAGAGGCTAGATGTGAGGGAGGTCCAGGAGTGCCCAGCCGCCTCTTTATTGAGAAGTGGCCCTTCGCCGAGGTAGCATCATGGGGGCCAGTGCACGCCCTGGGTCTGATGGCGGGGGGCTGGTGTCACCTGACTCACCAGGACTGCTGGAATCCTTGGGCCGGTCCCCTAGGGCCCAGAGTCCGTTCTTTGACCAGAAGGTCAGGAGTGGTAGTAACTAGACCAGCCTTCGGGGAGGGGCCCACAGCCTCTTCTCTGGCCCGACAAGCCAGCACTGCCCACCCCAGCGCCCACCCCCAGTGCCCCCAGGTCCACCCACAGCGTCTCACAGGTCTGCTCCTCCCAGCAGACTCCCCTGCTCACTCACCAGGGCCTGGGGGCTTGTGTGTGTCCTTGCCCTGAATGGGGCTGGGCTGCAGTATCAGTCCCTTTTGGCATTGTGCCAGTGCACCACGCCAGCCTGCCTGTGAACCTGCTCTATCACTGGGTCCTGGGGACCAGCCCCGTGAGGCCCTGGGTGCAGCTGAAGGAGAGGTCAGAGCCATGGGTGGGTGACCCGTGGAGTGGTCTTCATGGCCGTGAGGCCACTCAAGCTCATGCCTTGGTGGTCTGACAGTACCCAGCTCCTGGTGGGCAGTGTGGCCACGTGGTGCCCTGGCCACGCCACCTTGAATGGCCCACAGCTCCATGCCACAGGGTCCTGGGGTCTGTGCTGTGACGGCCCCGCTGGGGCTGCAGGTCTCCACATCGTCGACTGCCACCAGCTTCCTCCAGGACTCTGCAGCCTCGGGGCCAGATGGCAGGCCCGTGCTTCTTCGGACCCCACTCTTAACTATGGTCAAGGGTGAACAGGACCCCAAGTGGCGCAAGGAGACCGGCCAAGTCCTGTGCCTCTCTCTTCATGGTCCCTCACCTCAGAGGTAGTGTTGCGGTGCCCAGACCTCTGGACCCAAAAGTCTTGCTCATCAGGTGCCACAGGATGTCCTCAACACGGTGGCCAGCACGACGAAAATGTCCAGCGTGCAGACCACTGAGCAATGTGAAGACAGCAGAAAGAGTCCCAGTGCTGACTCGCCGATGCAGCATGTGCGCGGGACGTCTGCTTCTGCAGGGGTGTGTGGGGGCCAGCACCCCCTTCCTTCAAGCCTCCAAGGTAGCCCAGTGTCTGCTTTTTCCCCAGGATGTGATATTGTGTTCGATTTACACTCGAGGCTGGGATGGCCTCCACCTGCCCCTTCTCTTACACTAGCCCCTAATCACACCCCAGGGAACCTGTGTGAGGCTCAGCTGGGTGCTAAGCCTGTGCTTTCTGGTTACACGTTCAGGAACCTGGAAGTGGTCACTGGTGGGACCTGTGTGCCCATGAGCCCAGTTTATTGCCTGACTTGTGGACCCTTACTCCAGTGGGCGTGATGGGTCTGGTGTCACCTGGGCCCTGTGTCCAGCCGCCTCACATGATCAGTGTCCCCTCCCGGCCTTAGATCCTGCATCTTCGGTGCATCTCCCCTGCCGTCACAGGTGCATCCTCGTGGGTGGGGCCTCTCCTTCAGCTGGTGGGTCTGAGTCTGAGAACTGGCCCAGATCTGGAAATGATCAGGGGTGATTTTCACAGTTTCCAAGCACTTAGAATATATTCTACATTGAAAAAAGAATTTTGTCTGAAGAATTTTGTAACAAGTGTATATATTATAGAGAGTGAGATACTTTCAGATACATTGTCCACCCCCGCTCCCTTTTTTGTGTGTGATTGGTTCACATGTGATGTTACTTTTGGTGGTTCTCCATGTGTAAGTTCAAAGACCTCGAAATCTAGGGATATATAAGGACTTTGGAAAAAATGTAGACAGTGTCAGTTAATCTTAATTAAAACACATTGGCTTGTGCCTTTATAAAGTTCTAGGTTACAGCTTTTCTTGCCAACCTGTATCTGCTCCCAGCGCTGGAGCACCTGTGCCCCCTCCGGCATCACAGGTTTGCAGCGAGACCAGGGGTTCCGAACAGTCCTGTCGCACCAGAACAAAATCAGCTTTAGAAGGGTTGTTGCTGTAGTGCCGGGTTTTTTAAAAGTCATGACCTACAAAAATCTTGATTTGCAGTTGCTGGTTGGTGGTTTTGTTGATTATATCACATTGTTTGGAAAGAATGAAATGAATGCTAAGTATATGTTTGTCCTTGGTCATTACTTCTTTAAGGCCATTTACAAGAAAGCCATTTAATTATGAGGGTGGCAACTTCCATAAATTGTGCCGCTGCATATTCTCTGCAGAACATCTGAGATGTTACATGTCAGGCGTCACCGGTGTAGAATTTCTCCACCCACTTATTGAGCATTTTGGAGCAAGGATCCGCTCTGGGACAGGAGTTGGGTGGGGTCAGGGAAGCCGCTGTGTTTGGTCTGGGCCCCTCCCTGGGGGTTCACCTGCGCACGGGCGGAGGTGAGAAGCTCTGCATTCTCAGGAGTATGGAGGTGTTGAGGATGACGGTGGGAAGGAGGCGGGGAGCGCCTTGCAGAGGTACAGGGCACCCCAGAGCTTTGCCAGCACACGTGGGTGGGTCCTTCCCCGTGGCCTCAGGACAGGCCGATGGCAGGACTTCCTTATGTCCCCGATGTGAGTCTCCAGGGGGCTCGGGAGGGGTCCTCAGTGACCTGGCCTGGCTCGGAGTCGGCGACAGGCTCATGCCCACCATGCCTGGTGGGAATGCAAAGCGGGAAGCAGGAGCTGTGGACCCGTTTCTGCCTTCAGGTGGCGCCAGGGCCATCACCTCATCTCCGCTCAGCGCAGCCTCTTCCTGCCCTGAGTGTAGCTGCTGCGGCCTCTGTCCACTGAGCGGCACTGAATTGGTCAGGCTGAGCGTGTGCCCTGGGAGTGGCACAGGCGCTGCAGAGAGGGCACAGCTGTTTGAGGGGCTGATGAGTGGCTCACGCTGGCATGAGGTTTGGAGGCGGGTGGGTCTGCTGTCAGCATCTAAAGCCTGGTGGACGCTGCGCCACTTCCAGCTCCGTCCTCACCGCACCTTGGAGCGAGCACCGTCTGTGTGCCCAGCGGAGGCTGGGAGAAGTGCGGCGCAGATGGGGGCCTTGCTCAGTCACTCAGGACGGAACCTGGTGCTGGGCCCTGTGGTCCAACTCTGCCTCATAGCGCAAGAGATCGGCTGGGGAGGCCCCTGGCCCACGGTGCCCAGGGGTGGGTTTGCAGGTGGCGGGGCGGGGGGGTGGTGGTTCTGCGTCCACGGTTGACCCTGATAGAGCCTGGGGGGTGGGACGTGCTGCCGGCCAGGCATGAGTCTCTGGGAATGCTTGGTATTTGGAAGGTGGGTGTGAGGCAGGAGGAGGAGAGGGTGACCGGGGGCTGCAGGGAGGCTGCAAGGGCCCTGCTGAAGACGGAACCGGTCCAGAGTAACGTGCTGGAGCAGGATGCCTGGGAGATATGAGCCGATGAGGGCAGCTCATGTCCTACCATCTGGAGGAGTCTCTCAGGTTAAAAACCACAGGGCTTCCCTGGTGGCGCAGTGG